AACCACTTTTTCTTTAGAATTCTAGCTCCTCCAGTACACATGAATAGCTCATCACCATACCCTCCAGCAAGAAATAGGTTGAAGTCATTATGATTTCAGGTTTAAAATGAGAAGGTCCTGACCCCCCCAAAAAGAGGGAAACCACCATCTCATCATTTTGGCCTCTCTCTTCGAAAGATAGAGCAGACGAAGGCAAGAGGACAAGGCGGAAGAGTTGTAAGGACTTCTTTTGCTTATCAATGCAGATAGACAGGCAATATAGATATGACAGTGACCTTGGTGAAAATGAAAGAAGAGTAATTTCAAGGATATGATCTTTAGAGACTTTATCTCATTTGACCAACAGCATAAACAGAGCCAATTTTCCAACCAAAAATTTTAACAAAGATGCAACAGGATTATATAAAGTCATTCTACATAGGCTGTAACTTATGTAGCATATTCATTTACTCATTCTTTCTTTCAACAAATATTTAGTGAAATTTACTATAAATCATGACATTTGCTCGAAATATTCACTCAGACCTTGCCCTATTTTTACTTTTATTTCCCTAAAAGCAATCTTTCTGTAAATCCCATGCCTTTTCAACAAGATTCTCTTTTCATTTCCATCAAGGACATGGAATTGCTGGTCTGATTCTTCCTGTTGGAAGTAGGTGGGAACCTACTTCCCATTGAAGTCACTTTTGAATGGAAGTGGAAACCGCCATGACAGGCCAGAGCTTTCAGGGCACACAGTTCAAGCTGGAGAAATGGAGGCACGTCTCAGCCTCTACTGTCTCGCACAACTTTGTTTCCTGCGTTGCTGGCTGGACCCGGTGTTCAAAGAGGCCCCTCCTTGTGCTGGGGAGTTACCTAGTGCTGTACAGCCAAGGCCTTATCTCAAAGGATAAGGTGGAGTTTGCTCTTTTCCCCTATTGCAAAATTCGAGAATATTAAGTAATCTGTTTATATCAGACAGATCCAAAATCCCCGCCAAGGTTTTTAAGAAGGAAAAAAGTCCATAGGGTTTCCTCCTGTTTGGAAAAAGCTACCTGGAACTCTTTCTTCCTCTCTCACTCTTGGTTCACTATGCAAAATGTATTTTCCCCTGTCTGTGTGCAGAATGAAAACCAGTGGATGCCCCTCGTGACCAGCGCTTCTGGGTCACTCCGGCAACAACAGAGGGGTTCTGTGGAAGCACCTGGGCGGGATCAGGGGCCTTTTGGTGTGGAAATGGAAAGAAACATCTGAGATGCTGAGATTTTTAAATAAGTTTATCCATGGTAACCACTCCCTGACAAAAATGCTAAATTTTACAAAATCACATGTGGTCTAAGGTAAAGGATAAAAGGACAGCTAGACAAACATCTATTTATTTTAAAGATTAAGATTGGTACTTGGTTTCGTTTTTAAGGCGTGTCTCTTTAAGGGGGACATTATGTGAAAGGGAGGTTTGGGTCTTTAAATATACACCACATAGATAAATTCATTATTGAATCAGAAATGACTCCTCTTCTGACTCACTCTCTTCTTAGTGGGTTTTGCAGCTGATGGTTTTCTATGGAGTTTTTAGAACACGGATTAAGTGTCATGCCGCCCACTGAAAGCAAAGTTGAACAAGGTGAACCGAGGGCGTGGCTTGATGGCTCTGCCTCTCCCCCCTCCTCAGAGCTACAGCATTAGAAAGAAAGAGGAGAAGGCAGCTACTCTCTCACTTTCAGGCTGAGCTGAACCCAACTGCCTCAAATAAGGCCCCTACAAAACATTTTTAAGCATGAGCATTTTTTCTTTGACAGGTAGAGTTAGACAGTGAGACAGAGAGACAGAGAGAAAGGTCTTCCTTCCATTGGTTCACCCCTCAAATGGCCACTACGGCCAGGACGCTGAATCGATCCGAAGCCAGGAGCCAGGTGCTTCTTCCTGGTCTCCCATGAGGGTGCAGGGCCCAAGGACCTGGGCCATCCTCCACTGCACTCCTGGGCCACAGCAGAGAGCTGGACTGGAAGAGGGGCAACCGGGACAGAACTGGCGCCCCAACCGGGACTAGAACCTGGAGTAGTACCGGCACTGCAGGCGGAGGATTAGCCTAGTGAGCCGAGGGGTTGGCCAAAAGCATGAGCACTTCAAAATAAATGGAGCTCCTGGACCTTGGTCATCTTCATCATCGCTTTTGGGGAACACATCTTATTTGTGCAATATTTCAGGTTTACTCTTGCCAAATCTCCTGCAATATATTTTAATCATGTTTATCCTAGAAGCAAGAGAAATAACTACTGGGATAAAAGAGAGCCCAATTGATAACCTAAGTATAAAGTTTTCCAGTTTCTTGTCCTTTGAATTCCTAATCCTAAAAACTAGAACATTTACTTCTGCTGTAAGTGTACCAGAAACCCAGCTACTTCTCAATAGAGAACAGTTAGCTTTCCTTCACACTCCTTTCCCTCTGCAATTAACAATATGATGATGTGACACGAGTCCTTGAGGAAAACACTCAACATGTGAATCCCTGTGAGAGGTGTTGACAACCAGGGTCATCTGTTTCTTCATCCTCAACCACTGGAACCACAGATGTGTGTGCCATCACACCCACATCCATTCCAGCCGCTTAATGCTATCACCTAGAGCTTCCATGAAAATGGAAGTCCTCCCATCCCCACCAGAAGAAGCCAGGTGGGAAAAGTGGAGGGTCAACTGGAAGGGCACTGAATGAGCCTGGACCAGTTCCTATCTGTAGTTTCAAGAGGACATGAGAGCTGGCACTGCGGCACAGCGGGTTAACGCCCTGCCCTGAAGCGCCAGCATCCCATATGGGCGCTAGTTCAAGACCTGGCTGCTCCACTTCCAATCCAGCTCTCTGCTTTGGCCTGGGAAAGCAGTAGAAGATGGCCCAAGTCCTTGGGCCCCTGCACCCACGTGGGAGACCCAGAAGAAGCTCCTGGCTCCTGGCTGCGGATTGGCATAGCTCTGGCCATTGCAGTCAATTGGAGAGTGAACCACTGGATGGAAGATTCTCCCTTTCTCTCTCTCTCTCTCTCTCTCTCTCTCTCTCTCTCTCTGCCTCTCCTCTCTCTGTGTAACTCTGACTTTCAAATAAAATAAATAAATCTTTAAAAAAAAAAAGAGGACATGAATCTCTCCACTAAATAATGACATCATAAGCAACCAGCCTATAGGGTCTCCAGATCCATCAATGGGCAGCTAATTCAGCATGCCTGGAAAGAAATGTAATCAGGCTCAGGCTCCAAACAACATGAAAGACAGTCACTGAAAAGAGGGCTGTGAGAACGGGGAAAATGCACAAAATGCACATGGCCAGCTCAATCAGCACAAAGCCAACACACCTCTTGAATTTTACAGACATTTCTCCCAACTTTGGTTGTCTTTTTGGTTCTCCTCAGACTACTCATTTATAATGTGGTCTTAATCCTGTGCTTGAAATTCAAGGGAAATACTTGAGAAAACACACTTCTTAGTCAAAGCATTAATAAACTGTGTATTATATCCTATTGCAGTGTGGTGTCGTCAACTCTACAGACCTTACAAACTGGAGAAGTGATTTCTATCTCCTGTGAACTTAGCTAGAACATTATTCTCAAAGGAAAACACACACACACACAGGATATCTCATTCCTAAGCTTTTTCTGCTTTAATTGTCCTAGAACTATAGGATATTTTTTATATGCACCTGCTATGACTTCAATACTCTCCTCTTCCCCTGGACAGTGGGACAGTGACAGAGTCACTATGAAGATTTAATATCATGGGTTGCAAAAATCTTAAGAAAAAGGTTTAACTATTTTGCTTTCACCAACTTGACATTTTCCCACAGTCATGTTGTAAAAATGCAAGGAACCCATAAAACAATATGAAAGAAAATACTGTAGTTTCCGTTTTCCTAAGAAAGTAGGCATCAGATTCTTATTACTCAGTCTCCAGAGCATAAATGCAGGAAGTGGGGGTGGGGGAACGTTCCAGTCCTCCAACACGGGCAGAAGAAATGACTACAGAAACAGGAGCGCCAGCACAACAGCAAGCCTGTTCGGACTGTCCCGGGTGATACAGGAGCATCACCTGCGGGGAAGCCAGGTTCTGGTCATGCACTCCAGAACACACCACACCCACCTCTTTTTGCCAAGTTCTTGGTATGTACTAAATGCCTACCCAATACCCAGACTTGAGTCTCAAAGCATAAATTAATTGTCTCACAGGTGACTTTAAGGAGTGGAATGATCACATGGTTTAACTGCACACTTCATTAACTTTGGGTACTATTATAAGTTTATTGTATAAAATCACATTATAAATATCAATAACTTTGTATATGCCTTCATATAATTACTTTAATATCTATTTCTTAAGCCTTGCCTTCTCACCATCGTTCATCCCACACTACAGATAGGTCAAGAGACAAGAGAAAGGAAAACCGCACGAAAGCAAGTAGCACCAGCTAAAATATAACTCTTCTTCAGCTTTTATGACACTGGGGAACATTAGCAAAAGGATTCCTGGAGGCTTTTTAAGTTAAAAACTGCTTGTCCACCTTTCCTGAGAATCCTCCCTGACAGCCACACTTGACAGCCTCAGCTTAGATCCATTTTTTCTGCAAGTGTTGTATCATCCTCTCTCAGTAATGGTCATTTCAATACCCAGCAAGCTGCAGGAAAGAATATGAGGTGCTGCCAGATAAACTTAAATAAATCTAGCAATTTCTCTGAATTAATCATTTAACATTATCTAGTAAAATATTTCTTTTTTGATGGAGAGGCACAACACAGGCACCTGCCTCAAAATAAGATGCTTTTTTGTTAAGCCAAGCAAGACCACATTGATTCGAATTCTGAGGGTCTGAGGAAGTTCTTAAAATTGCTGTTAAAGTACCATGCAGAGGTCAATGAAACCCCATAAAAAAGCCTCGGTTTTTAACCTAAAAACTTTAAGATATGTAAAATATACACATGCCATTACCTAGAGACCTATGGATACAAATATTTACTTGCCCAGACCAACAGAGAGCTCACCTTCTACTTCTTCTTCATCACACACATGCTTGAGGAAGGAAGCCCCTCTGTCCAGGACAGCTTCATCCTCCATCCTATAGTAATAAAAAAGAAAAAAAGAATGCTCAGACTTCTCCTGGAGCGAGCCACCTGAAGCAGCCCAGCTTCTGGGCAGGTCCACCTGCAGGCTGGTGTTCATGGTAACAGGACAGGCTCTCTCTCTTTGGTGTCTGCCACTCCTTCACGCAGCTCCTCTGCTCTGCTGCTCGAGAATACGCCGGCCACACATAGCTTCAGTTCTAACCTTGACAGGACACCCACATGGACAGGTGAGAGAAAAGCACCCTGATCCTGCAGGCTGGGTTTTGGGTACTCTCCCCCTTGGGGTTTGCAAAAACCACAAAAAAAAAGAAGAAGATAAAAGCCAAAACAAACAAAAAAATACCAAGAGAGGAAGTTTGGTGTGTCTGGAGTGCTCGTGATGATCGTTTGTGGAAATTCAGCTTCAGTGCTTAGCTCTTTAAACACCCACTGCATCCAATGTATACCCTCTCACACACACATGCACGCCCACCCACATGCGGAGAGCGACAGGGAGTTAGGCTAATGCACAGTGGGAGCCTAGCTTGCAGCCAGCCTCTTAATACCAGCACAGCCCAGTATTCTCTGTTGAGTGGCAAGCTTTGAGTCACATGTTGGCCTTACGGAAATCTGACATCTGAGGATTATCCAGCAACCCGGCTTCGGCAAGAGGCACATATACACGCCACCCATTCATTCACTTTCCGCATTCTTATCACACGTCTCTCTCTAAGGATATCTTCCCTGTTAACTCTTCCTTGAAGGGCACGAAGTTCTTCGTTTTGTAACAACATTATGCTGTCCTCCTGTCTCCTTACATAATAGGATCTACTCTGCAATTTCATCTGCTAAATAAGATCTCAGACTCCATCCAAGGAAAGAGAGCATTTCTGCAGCCTCCCGAGCCCAATAGGTTTTTGGTTTACAAGATGAGTTGAGGTTTATTTCCATACTCTGTGGCTGCTTTTCGTTGTGTTAACTTTGATATACAGAATTCTATGAACTCTATTTATAGTGAAAGCAAAAAGAAATTCTGAATTGCTCAAACGCTCCTTGTGTAGAACCGGGCAAGAAACAAAGAACTTTCTCTGGGGACAGCTGCTCCATGTCATACTGTACATGAGCCCTGCCAGAGAGCCAAATGTTCACTCTGTGGTCTATTCATCCAGCTATAGACTCAGGCACCGAATAGAAGTAGGTCGGTTTTCCGCAGTGCCTGTACAATGTGTGCTTCGGCTATTTGTTACAATCCATATGAATGTTACTGAACCTCATCTCAGTTTAGAAATATATCCATTAGCAACCATCTCAGCATAAAAAGTCAGAAACAGAATGTCAGGTAGCCCCAGGTTTTAAAAAATTTAGGTAGACCATTTGGCAGTTGTAGCACCTACAGCAAAATTGCTAACTTTTATGAGCCTTGGTGTGTCTACCTCTGAAATAAATGGACATGTTAATATCATGTAAATAATATCAATCCTGCATTGGTACAGCACAGTAATATCAACCTTGCATTGAGTGCTTTGAGAGTCCAATTAAGTGATAAATGTATCTAAACGCACTCAGCTCATTGCAGGACCTCCCATTAACTACATGGTTAGTAAACACAAGCTTCCTTCCTTTCTTCTTATCTACCCTGACAACCACTGGTAGACAGTGCCATCAAGAAACTCATTATCTTTGGATGCTTGCAGGATTTCTAATGTCAGGGGCATGAGTCTTAGATTTAATAGTTCATCCATATATCTAAACCTTTCCTTCTCTGTACCCAAGCTACAACTATAAACTGCATGCAAACAGGATATGGATGAGCCATCAGGATTATACTGGAAAAGAAAATGCCTTGAAGACTTGAGAAGTCACTTACCAACCTCTCTGAGCCTCAAATTCCCAAGAAGATTTAATCAGACAACATAGTCATTGATTCAGCAAATATTTATTCAGTGCCTATTGTGTTTCTGGCATTATTTAGAGCGACAGGAATGCATCTCTGAATATGACAAAGTTCCTGAAAAACTAATCATCAACAGACAAACAAGGTAACCTCAGCATCAAAGTCTCTGCAGAAAACATGGTGAGGCAGGAAGCTACCTGGCGGAGCGTAGATCTGATGAGGCTTCCGAGGACGTGACATGTGAGCTGAGACAAGACAGCGGGGAGGATCTGGCCACATTCCCACAGAGGGGAAAAGCTGGGGGCAGAGCATGCCAAGCAAAAGGAACAGCAAGTGCAAAGGCCCTGAGATGGGATCAAGTTCCAAGAACAGAAAGAAGATCAGGTCAGCTCTGGAGAGAACTGGTGCATGGCCCGCCGTGGTCAGGAGTTGGGATTACAGGTGTTACGGGAGCCACTGAAGAGTTTTAAGATAGAAAGTGGCTTGAAATGCTTTACCCGTTTAAAGAAACACTCTGGCTGCTACATGGAAAATGGGTGGTCAGGGGACAAGGAAAATTAAACAACTACTACAAGAGCCCATGGAAGGCTGTGGGAGAAACAGCTAGGGAGGAATCGAGAGTTCTCTTTGAACATATTAAGGCTGAAATGCTTATTTTTACAAAGAAAAAGGATCTCTCAGGTACACAACTGGATGTCCAAGTCTGGAAACGAGGAGCTGAGGGGTAAGGAAAAAACTAGAGAATCAAAGGCGGAGCTGAGACTTCAAGCAATTACGAGATGAGATCATCCAGGAAGAAAACGTGCCCATGGAGTAGCAGACCTCAGATCAAGTGCTGAGCTTGCCAGCACCTGAGTAGAGGAACAGAAACAGTCAGTGAGGCGAGAGCAAAGCTGGGCAAGAAGGAAGTCAAGGAAGTCATGCAAAGAGACAGGACCGCCGCTTGAAGGCTGAGAAAGATGGAGACCGCAAAGTGAGGCTTGGATCTGGTAATATGGAAACCCCTGATGACCATGACCGAAGCATCTGAGGAATACCACAGCACAGTGGGAGACACAGTTCTCCCTTCCGTTTCCTCCACTGGGTCACTCAGGAAACAGAGTGCCTACTACGTGTCAGGCACACAGGCAGTCAGATGCAGTGCAGAGCAAGGCTGACCAAGGTTCTGGTCAAGCGCATCTGCCTTCTCAGAGACCTCAGAGGAGAGGTGGCATTTGTATGACACAGACGAAGGGGACAGCTTAATGGGGATATTTTCTTTAAAGACTTCAGAGACACAATATCCTGGAGCCCTAAATGACTGCTTCCCTTCTGGAAAACCAAGAGAAGTCTAGCTCACATGTAGTCTCAGGGTTAACTCTTTCCTGTTTAGCTGCCAATGGGATGCAACACAATTTCACTGATTACATCATTTTATCACCCCAGCATTAATCAAGTTGGCTCTAAACCCTCTTGTAGTCCCTTTGCATATTCCTCAATGAAATGCTTAGCCCTCGTTCCTATGCCCTTCCCACAACTGCATGCAACAACTAAAGGGGAGGTAAAAGAGGGAAGGCCAGTAACAACGGGGAAGACAGTAGAAAAGTGAATGCCCAAGCCTGCTTCCCAGGCTGAGAAAGCCACGCAGCCCCCCTGAGGCACTGCTGCAGTCTCCCACCTGAGTTAGAGTCCAAGTGCACACTGGTGCCTTCCTGGGCTCTTCAATGCGCGTTTCACCTTGCCTCCAACAGGGAGCAGAGCAGGCAACCAGAAACTTGGTTCTTTGTGATGGACATGCAGAACATCAGGAAAGCAGCCACTTCTTGGTAGGAAAGTGAAAGGGGGTGACTGAAAACAAACCCTGCACACCCACAGCAGACTTGGCCAGGACAGCCCTCACGCCTCCTCCATGGCCTGGGCAGCCTGGCGCACCTGGGCTGCTGCACCAACTACTGGGATTTCACAGCTGTAGAGGCCTGTGTCCCTTCACCTCAAATCCCCTCATCAGTTGCTGGGTATTATTAGTAAGACAGAGATATCTCCTGAAATGACCATCTGACCCAACCGGTTTCCCTCTCTGCTAGCAGGAAGAAGTTAACTCATGTCCTTCATCCCAAATCCATCCTCACAACATTGCTCTCACATGGCCTGCATTTGCTGAAAACAAAGCAGGGAAGACCCGTGCTTCGCAACAGCTCCCTGCGTGGCTGTGGCTCACATCACCAGCTTGAGGCAAAGTTCAGAATAGATTTGGAAGCCTCTCCCAGCATCACGGGGATAAGGGTCACACCAGTCAGTATAAAATCCTCCAGCGCCCATCCTGCCCTCCTGCAGCAGAGGCTCTGACAGTAGGAGGTAACCCCCTCCTGCACAAGTCCACACCCAAAGCAGGCTTTGTCTTGTTCTCCATTCAGTTGGGGACACTGAAATGATTTAACTAGAACACATGTCAGATCCGCTGCCAAGCGGACCGGCTTTCACCAGCCGGTCCTAATCACCAAGCAGGCCGGCAAGGGTGACTTAAGCCTGGCACGAGAAACATTTGTGCAAAATTGTCAGCCACTGGGCCTCGAGCACCCATCGACATTCCACCCCTCTGAGTTCCCACCCTCGAGCCCACGCCAACTGCCAACGTGCTCACCAGCCAGTCCCCACGGCACAAGCAGCTGCCACTCAGCCAGTCAGCACGTGGCAGGCCGCCAGCACACAAGCGTCCCAGGGCTGCTAAAGGTTGAAGGTCTTCGGGTGTGCTAGCCTTTAGACTAGCCTCACTTGCCCTCCCACCTCCCTCACACCCTGCCTCCCAGGGTAGCGGTGCACTGGTCTCTATGGCAACAGCCTCTGGTTTCAGGTTAGAACTTTACACAGTGCAGGGCTCCTCCTAGCCCAAGGCTATTGCAGAAGGATGCATTAGCCAGAGGCTGCTGCAAAAGTGGAGACACCTGTTTCCTTGCCACCTCAGCATTGCAGCTGCAAAATCCCAGCAAGCACAGACCTGATCCCCCAGGCAAACAGAACAGACCCTCCAACCTTGCTTTGCTGGTGGCTGCAAAGGGAGTTCCCTTCTGGGCTGTCACTCCAAATCCAGAGCCAGCCTGTTCTCTTGCACACCCTACTCTCCACAGAGGTACACCACACGAGGATCAAATTAATAGCAGGGCTTTCGCCTCCTTCCAAAAAGGCATCGGGGTGGCCCCCAAGGGAGCAGCAAGGCTCCAGTCTGTAACACATCCCGACCAGAGTCTGACATAGCTGCTTCTTTCTATGCACACAGCTTAAAGTTTCTGAGATCTTCTTGTGTTTCCTCCACCCATCCCACTTGATCCTGACTAGGTTGGTCTGTTTACCACATCAAGGGAACCCCAGCATAATCACTTTACGACAGCTTCCCTAAGTACAGCAGATGTTTAAATAGTTCTTTACACACATGCCCTCACACGCGCTAGTGGGACGCATGCAGGGGCGTGCACAAATACTAGGAAGTGAGGAGTTCTGTTATCATTAGCCACGGCTGCCATGAGAACTGTATTTCCAGTGTCTAGGAGGGCCTTGACCTGAGGACTAAGAGGTGTTAATCTTGATCAGGCCTTGACCTGAGGAATAAGAAGTGTTAATCTCAAGTCTCGGAGCTCAAAGGAAGGCTGGCGCTGCAGCTCGGCTGGCCTTGG